CAATAAATCCATAAAATGTCTTCCGTCTACTGAGCCAAAGGACGTTATTTTGATAAAGAGAATTTTTAAGTGAACAAAGTCTATTTATGATATCAGATGATGCTGTTCATTTGTACTCATTCCCTCCCTCCTTCCAATACACCATTTCAGGCACTCCAACTGCAACCCAAGAAGATGCAGACTAAGTGCTGACAGGCCACAGAACTCACCTCTGGACCAGAGGCAGCGGGAGGAAATTGAGGGTAGACGTCATATCCAGCCCACAGTCCAGCATGATGGTGGTGGATTTGAACTTGAGCACGTTGCATGGCAAGGTTGGATGTCCTGACAGGCAGTACTGGAAGAAGAATGAGGAGGAGTTACTCAGGACCTTTCAGAACATGACCCTTCCCTGTGTGCTGGGCACTGGTGAAGCCACACCTTGAATCCTGTGTCCAGCTCTGGGCTCCTCACCACAAGGACATGGAGAGGCTGGAGTGTGTCCAGGGAAGGGAACGGAGCTGGGGAAGGGGCTGGAGCACCAGGAGGGGCTGAGGGAGCTGGAAAGGAGCTCAGCCTGGAGAAAAGGAGGCTCAGGTGGGACCTTGTGGCTCTGCACAACTCCTGACAGGAGGGGGCAGCTGGGAGGGTTGGGCTCTGCTCCCAGGGAACAGGGACAGGATGAGAGGAAACGGCCTCAAATTGTGCCAGGGGAGGTTCAGGTTGGACATCAGGAGGAATTTCTTCATGGAAAGGATGGACAGGCAGTGGAAGGGGCTGCCCAGGGAGTTTTGGAGACTCCATCCCTGGAGGTGTCCAAGGAATGACTGGATGTGGCACTCAGTGACAAGGTGGGGTCAGTTACAGGTTTGACTCAATCTTGGAGGTCTTTGTCAACCTCAGTGATTGTGTGAACAGTTCATAAACTGCCTTTCCCACCTTGTTTTTAAACACAGTTCCTTACACACCTAAATAAAACAACTTCCCATGAATCTGTGTCCCACAACTGTGTGTGTTCACTGAGATTTCCCCATGTCAGGGTATTAAGGAGCAGATTTTCTTCAGACATTTTTTCTGATCCCAAGGGTTGAATGGATGGCAAAGCTCTTCCCTCTGATTTAGGACACATGCAGAGTATCTTTTTTTCTTGCAATCACCTATTTCCCCAAAAACTCAGGAAATCAGCTTCTTACAAACTCAGCCCCTGGCAAAACTTGGCTAGAAAATTTGAAAATTACTCGAGTGAGGTGGACAGGGAGACAGAAAAGCCCTGCAGGAACACAGTATTTATTTTGGTAAGAAACCTGCCCCAACAACCCCTGCACAGGTGCAGCAGCTCTGGGGCAAGTTCTCACCTGCTTTTTGTCCTGCTAAACACAAACAGGAAACAGGAGGGACTGGGCAGCCCCACCTGAATGGAAGGGTTTGTGTATCCAAATCCCAAAGGCTTTGCAAGCTTAATGAGCCGGTGAGCAGGTGATGTAGGGGGCACTTGAGCATCATTGAGATGCAGCCACCTCCCGTCTGGAGTGACAAACATTTAACTGCTCTGAGGGAGAGCAGAACAGAAAGGTCGGCTTTAAAAGGTGGGATTAGAGACAAATGTCTGAGCAGAGCGTGGCCACCTCTGCGGGAGGGTTCCTCTGCTCCGAGGAGGGATTTTGCATCTCCAGTCTCCCAGGTCTGGGCATCTGGCAGCACAGCCACGCTCAGGTGGTCAAACTGGAGCTTTTAACTTCAAGTTTTTGTCAATGAAGATGAAAAATACCACTTGTTTGGCCGTACACTGCACTAAAAACAGACTAAGTAATTTATCCCTTAAGCTTGTGTTCTATACTTCCCTCTACCAAGTGGAAAAAGGGAGATTAATAATTTCATTTTCTACCTCTGGTCACAATAATGTTAACACAGGACTGCAACTGTTTGGATTAACAGCCCTCAAGAAGTCTATTTACATACATTCCTCAAAAACCTACTTTAAACTCTATTTAAATAGTAAAACCGAGTAAGCCTCAAATATTAAATTCAAAATATCACAGAGAGTTTTGTTTTAAATTCACAAAGCCTTAATTATTAAGGAGTTACATTACATTTTGTCTTTCTTTTAGTAAAGTTTAAAAAAATATGTAAAGCCAAGCTCGAGAAGGAGTGAGGAATTCACTTGGTTTATTCACAAATGTAACACTCTCATGTGAAATTAAGTTCTCACCAGACCAGAACTTTGACAAATGAAGCTATAAATTGAAGTAAATAGAAAGAAATGAAGGGAAAAATAAGTTTTATTTTTGTAGCTTTTAAACTATTGGTAATTAAAAAAGGCAATGAAATATCACCACTTTTATCAGTAAAATATTTTCTTGCCTTTTTTTGTAATCATGAGTAGTAATTCTACCCCGACATCTATGACCTAACTGGAAAATCTTTCTTTTTTCCTTCTTTTAAAGCAGCTAAAGTCATCTCTCTCCGTGGCTGTCTGCTGAGGCAAATGGATTCTTTCTACAGTGACAGCAAAATAAAAAAGGCAATTTGTATTTTCTATACAGCTGTTTGCACAAGTGACATTGCTGGGCCTGCACCCCTGTTAGACTTTTGGATCAGGAATCCAGGAATGGAAGTGTTTGCACAATGTGTGTCTCTATACACATTATAAATGTGATAATTTCCACACAGTTTATACTTGTTACTGTTTAAAACAGATCCAGAGATTTCATATTCCTGACTGGATTAAAATGCAAGTTTTTTATTCCAAGATTTGCTTGCTTCCAGCTTGATTCCCTTATGGCTAAAGGCTGGTGCAGCCAACACACAAAGGTGCCTCATCTCCTAAGACACAAAACACACAAAAGGCATAAATATGCCCAGCTCACAGCTTTCCTGGCAGGATTTGCAAATTGGAGGAAAGTTTGGCAGTGGGGCAGTGGTTGAGGGGCTGATTCCAGATGCTCAGGGCCTGGGAGGGGCAGGTTCTCCACAGACATCCCATTCCATGAACATCTCATGGAGAGCAGAGAGATGGTGGCTCAAACTCGCAGCTCCAAAACATTCAGAGTTATGCAGGTTAAAGGCAGAGCTTGGAATTCCAAGTGAAGCCAACAAATCCTGTAGTGCATTCCTCCAGTATTAGTATCACATGCCAGCTTAAAAACTGGGGGGAAATGAGCACTGAGGATTGCCTGAGTGAAAGCACATTTGAGTTTGTCGGAGTCTGAGGTTTTCACCAGATTCTGAATCAGATCTGGAATCAGAATCCCACAATGGTTTGGGTTAGAAGGGACCTTGAACCTCATCTTATCCCAACCCCTCTGCCATGGACAGGGAACATTCCACTAGTCCCTCACCTCTACCCTGTTCTTCCAAATTCAACCGAAATCTATGAGAAAAAGAGGATAAAGAGAGGATAAAAAAAGAGGACTTTTCTCCTCACAACCCCAAATTCAGACACATCTCCAGAAAAATATAAGGTGAATAACCTCATCTTATAATTCTCAGTACCTGAATTTAAAAACAATGCTAAAAATGTTCCAATACAGACTCCAGAGTTAGTTTCCCCTCTCTACCCCTATGCAAGACTCTCAACATTAAAAGAGCTCTGCATTTCCAGTGGGGTCTTTAAATAAAGGTTTCCCAGTTTGCTTTTCCCCACTGAATTCTATCAGCCTCTACAATCACACCCAGGGGTGCTTGACTTTGCAGTTTTTGTCCCACTGGTAATAGCCATCCCTGCACAGATCCTTATCACACAGGTAAGATTAAGCAGGATCAAACTCCTTGACCACCTGACTCTGGAATTAATTGTACACACTTCCACAGAGAGTGGTTTCCTAAAAGTCTTAAATCAGAACATTTACTTTTATGAAGCTTTGTTATAACACACTGCTCAGTCTCAAAACCAAGAGACAATCTTAAATTGAGTAATGGTGTCACTTCAGATTAAATAAATCAAATATTATGCTCAGGTATGTTGAAAACTGCTTGGGTTTTCACCTCCAGACCAAGAAGTGCAGCACATTATGTGAAACTGAAATTCTTCCTGGAAAACAAAGCGGCTCCTGAATCCAAGGCCTCCAGGAAAGTAAAACAGCTCGAGAGGAGACCAATATGATGGGTCATGTACATTCTGACAGAAGACTGCAATATCAGAACCAAAACCCCTGTCAGAAGCAAGGTGCGCCCTTAGCAAAGCTGCTCCAGGCTGATTTTTTTCTTTTTTTTGTTAGTACCTCCCTGTATTATCACACTGCAGATGAAAAACATCTTCATCACAAACCACAGGCATTTATTCACTTTCCTCGCAGAGTCCAGCAGAAGCCACACGTGCAAGGGGAGAGCTCCAAACCAGACTCATGCTTAAGGCTGGGAAGGCTGAGAAACATTTTCTCTCCTCTTACTAAGATTTGATCCCATCCAACACCTCAAACCTGGGCAACGCCCCTCCCCCCCCCCCAACCGTTACCCGCCCCACTCAGGGCCGACCCCCACCTTCCCCCACACCTCAGGGCCGACCCCCGCCCCTCCCTGCCCCACTATCACCCCCTTATCCCTCAGTCCCCCCAACTCCCTCAGCATCTCCTCCCCCCCTTTTCCCTCAGGCCCCACTCCAACGCCTCAGTTTCCCCTCACGCCCGGCGAGGCTGAGACTGCGCAGCCAGGAGGCGACCGGGGGAGCCCCCCCCGCCGCCGGGGGAAGGCCGAGCCCCCTCCCCGCCCTCATGGCCGCCCGCCCCGGGCACTCACCAGCTTCATCGCGTCCGCCGGTTCTATTTACCGGGACAATCCTGCCCGCCTTCCTGCCCGCCCGCCCCGCCGGCCCCGGGGCATCATGGGCATTGTAGTCCCGCCTCCCCTCCGTTCTTAGATAACGTCATGGCCGCCCGACGCGTGCCGGGAGTTGTAGTCCGCCCCGAGAGCAGCCCCGCCGCCCCATTGGCGCGCCGCGCGCCCGTGGCACGCTGGGAGTTGTAGTCCCGGCGCCGCGGGTCTCCCCGTCACCCTGGGGAGGGGGGAACTACAAGTCCCAGGGTCTCACAGCTGCAGCAGGTGGGGACTCGGATGTTGATATCAACATGGCGCTTGTCAGACAGACAAAGACAGTCGGTCTGGTGTGATTGAGCCAAAAAAAAAAAAAAACAACCCAAAAAAAAAAGAGAGGGAGCGGGCGAGGAGGAGGGAGCGGCAGGAGGAGCGCCGGGCGGGGAGGGGGCTGTGTCCTCGGGGGGCGTGGGGGGGCTGAGGGATTTCCTCCCCCCTATTGTTCTCGTCCCTCCGCGCCCCCCGTTAATCTCCCCTCAATCTGGGGCGGGGGCAGGCGGGGGGACCCCCCCAGTTCCGCCGGTCCATGGTGAGGCGGAGGCGCCGGCAGCACCCAGAGGTGAGTGTCGCGGGGGGATACGGGGGGGGAGCGGCGGCGGCGGCGGCGGCGAGGGGAGGGGGCGGGCGGGTGGGTGGGCTGGAGGGAGGGAGGGCAGCGGGAAGGGGTCTCCCCTCCGCCGGCACCGCCGGGAGTCGCGCCGAGCCGGAGAGCGGGATGTGCGTGAGGGGGGCAGCCGGGGGCGGGCAAGGGTGGGCAGGGGCAGCCCTTCAGCACGGGCGGCAGAGTTGGAGCCGCGGCTTTTGGGGGGCTCCGCGGGTGCCCCGGATCGGGGGAGGAGGAGGAAGGTGTCCCCAGGAGGCTGCAGCGGGAGGGCAGGGCGCCTTTGGGGTTCGCTGCTCCTGCCATTTGTATATCTATTCTGATTCCTCCCATCTCCCCGGTGTGGGGCACGGAGTGGCGGCCGCGGAGCCCCCTCAGCCTGGGTGGGTGCTGCGGTTTAGGGGTGTTTGTTCGGGTGTTGCTCGCCGCGGAGTTTTGGGGTGGGCTGATGCGAACCCCGGCGCTGCCTGTCCCGGGGACCCCCGGGGACGGCGGGGGAAGGAGGGAGGCTCCGATCGGGGATGGAGCCGGCTGCGGAGCCCCCTCGCTCTGCCGGGGACTGTGCGAGGGCTCCGGGGGCTCCTTTTCGGGAGCTTTGTGCCGCTGGAGGTGGGGGAACGGGGCTCAGGGGTGCCCCAAACCCCGCCGGCTCCCAGGGCTGCCGGATCTCTGGCAGCTCTCGGGGCTCCGGGAGGTTTTCGGGGAGAGCAAAGGCGTGAAACCCCCGAAAGGTGTCTGTGTGCCGGAGAGTTTAACGTGGGAACGGGTGGGGGAGGAGGAGGACCCGGAGGGAAGTCATTCCCAAAATGTGCGAGGAGAACTTGGGTGGGGTGTCAGACGCTTGTTTGTTTTGTACTTCTTGGGAAGAGGTGGGGAACGGGGGTGGCGGGTGAATGCTTTTGTGTCCCTTGTCCGGGATGGTTTTGGGTCAGCACGGTTTGACCGCAGGAGCGGTCGGGGGAAGCGGCAGGAAATTCTGCTGGAGTGTTTGCCTCAGCTTCGGGGTTAAAACAAAACAAGATGCGAGTGTGTTTAGGTGCCGAATACACACCCGAGCCAGACCCCGCCGAGTTCCTCGACCTCAGTTTTGTCTGATGGGTTCTTTCCTTTATTTCTTTTTTTTTTTTTTTTTTCCCTAGTTGGTGGAGTGTGTCTTGGTATGTTTGCAGAGCACTTTTTCGGAAGCATTTTGTTCTTTGAGATAGGTCTGGAAAAAGCTCGGTTGGACGTGCTGTTTTTTCCCCCAGTTCTTTCGTGTTAGGGACAAAAAAAAAATAAAATGCTGTTTTGGGGGTGGGGAAGGAAGAAGGAAGAGGAAATGAAGGTTTAAGCATGTTTGTGGAGTCGGGTCTGTCTCAGTTCAGGTAACACTGGGAGTGTGATTCCATGACTTTTAAGTACAAAACGTTTATGAACAAAAAAACCGGGGAGATTTAAACTTTGTAGGGAGGAAAGCGTTAAAGTGATGGCCAGGGAACGCGGCTCTGGGAGACGCTACCTACGTCCCCCTGCTTCAAACTAGTGGAGATGGAGGGAAGGAAAAACTAAAACACTGGGGAAAAATACCCCTGCAATTTGTATGAATGATGCCATGTAAAATACCGGAGCGAAGAATTGTGCTCTGCAGACAATTGTTGGGCTGGTGAAAGCCTGAAGTGCCTGCTCGGGTCCCGTGATATGACTCCTCATTTCTGCAGGGCTCATCAGGTACAGGCTCTGCTTCCTTCCTGGGATGGTGCAGCTGGCATTTGATTTCCTCCGTGGATGGGAGAGGAGGAGTCCTGTGCAGTATTTTTTTTTTCCCCGAGATGATTGCATTTTCTTTGGCCTTGCTGTACCCTGCCTCATTAGTAGGAACTGCATCTATACTTATTTACCATTATACCGTGTCCCTTGGGAAGCGGGGTGTAGTTTGGAGTAGGTATATATGGATTTATCGCTCCTAATATTTTTTTTTCCTCCCATCGTGCTAAGACCGAATCCGTCAACAGCAGAGAACAAACTTAATTTATTTCTGTGTTTTGCATCTCCCTTTTTACCATTTCTCTTCCAAATTGCTAAGAAAACATCTCTGAGATGGAGACAGGAGAGAGGGAGGAAAGGGATGGAAAATGTTGTCTGTGCAGGGATGCATTTGTTATTTGCATGTCTGGGGAAGGGCAGGGTTTGTTTCTGCATGTGAAAACTGGGGTTTGGGAATGTTTTTTCCCTTATGTGAGGATTATTCTTTAGCCCTGCGACGGCCACAACTTTTTCTGTCTGGTTGACAGAATTACCCGAGGAGCCTGGGCAGGAGGCTGGGAGCAAGGAACTTGTGTTTCACTCTGTGCTGCCTGTTCTTCCTCCTCTTGTTCCCTTAGCACCAGTGCAAGCACCAGAACAGGCATCAGCATTTTTACTCCTGTGTCATCCCACTGTTCCCAGCAGGTCTAGACGACATTGTGGTATGCAGGCTGCCAGCTGGGTTACAGGAATGCTACCCTAGGTGAAACAGCAGGATTTTTAAGGAGGGTTAAGGAAATCTGGGAGAAAATCCTGTGTGAATGAGGCCTGGTTTTCTCTACAACTGCTTCACTGAGCGGTGTCAAGCAACTCCTTGGGTTTATTGACCTTTCTGGACAACGTGCATCTCTCTAGCATTGTGATTCTGATAATTCCATGGAGTCTGTAGCTGCTGTCAGCTGCAGGGAGCTTATTTTTAAGGCAGTTTCTGTGTGGGTCTTACTGATCTCTTACAAAGGGATATTAAAAGTTGATAGCTGTGCAGTGTTTTGAAAATTAAATGATTATAAAGTGTTTACTTTGTAGTGATGAATCCATAGGTTCATGGGAGTGTTTGGTATGTTTTTTCATTGCTGTCTGGATTTGGGAAAAGAGTGAGGCTCTGAAATTTGTTTTTAATACTAATTTACTTTTTAATAAAATGTATTTTTTTTGAGCGTGACTGTCAAGAATTGTTCTGTCATTCACTTTTGGGATTGCTCTTTTTGTGTTGTGTGTCAGTGGGGCAGGGGTGAAATTTGGGTCTTTGGGTGGAGAATTGGGAAAATTAATGAAACTGAACCATGAGAAAGGAGGAAGCTGTACTGTTCCTTATACCAAGGGATTGGGGAAGATATTTGGTTGTATATGTTAGAAACCAAATGAAACAGCAGCACATTTTAATCTAAAGAAAGCAACTTGTACTTCACAGCAATTTCTGTGCAGAGCTTTTAAGGACATTACAGAATGACAGGCTACAGTATTGGCATCTGTAGCAAATCTTTTTAATCTGCAAAGTTTTAGAATTTGAAATCAAAATACTGTCAGCTTAAGAATCTCACTGCAAAAAGACAGATGCCTTTGTTCCTCCTGTCGATAACTTCATGCAGCTTTGATTCTAAAGTCCCTGAAGTTTATTTCACGTTATGCTGATTTCAACGGAGCGGGGATTGGATTCTGCATACATGTCCTCATGGGATTGGGCTTTAATTATACCTATGCTGATAATATGATCTTGTGGGTTATCAATGCAGTGAGGCCAATACTGTGATTACAGCAGGATTTTTAGGACATAATGAGGAGAATTTGATTTTTTTTTCAGGAGGGGGTCAGTGTAATTCATAACCCTAAAGCTGGTTTTATTTGTAGGATTAGTAATAAACTATATTTTAGCATTCTAATATTCCTGTATTGACTAAAGCTCCCTTCTGATTCCTATTAAATTAGGATGGCTGGGTAGCAAAGTGTACTAAGAATTTGTATCTGAGCACTCAGTCATGCAAACGGGTTGTGTGGTAGCTGTGAATGCAATTCCCAGGGTTAATGCTAAAGATAAGTGTTTTGACAAATGCTTTTAATTTGGGGAACAATACAAGCAAGAATGACAGGATATGAAAAGAAAGTGCTATTTTTCCTCTCGCAGGTGGCAAACAAAGGTGTAGAGGGATCAACTTGCCCAGGTTCCTACAGGGAGTCTGCAGCAGAACTCGCAATCAGTCTGTGATCTCAAGGGTTTGTCAGGGCTTTAATCAGTTTTTCTTCCTCCCCTCATTAATTGGCTAGCTTTGACATTTTGAAAATAACATCTAGAGATTATTTCTCTTTTCTCCAGTTTCAAACTTTATCGCCTGAAGATTTTTTTTTTTTTTAATTTTCAGTCAAGCCTTGAAAACACAAGGTCTGAAAACTTGATCTGAGCAGCACCTCCCTGACATACGATACTATCTCCAAACAGCCCCTGACAAGTGAACCCTCTCATTGAAATCATGTGAGGAATTTTATTACTCAACTCTGAAGATCTTCTGGGGGAAAGGAGGTTGCAAACTATTAACTATGTGGTCTTCACTGAAAGTTGGCAGATAAAAAATGCTCTTACGTATTTGAGGCTGTCATGTGGTCCACAGCCAGAAGTAGAGAATCAGCTTTGTAGTCTCTGACCAACCGAAAATTTCATCTTGTCACCGTGAGAAACACATCTATTTTTGTGTTGTGCCTGCAGATTTCAAGTGAATATATCCCTTTCTTTAAACATGCTCTTGATTATATCATTCCCCTCTTAACTGGGCGCTTACACAGCGTTATCCTGTGCTCATATGAGCACGTGGAGAAGCTTTTATCCTTGATAACCTTAAAAAGTCTGTTGGGTTTGGGCAGCTCCTGTTCTTTGCTGTTAAAGTTGGGTTTAGCAGAGGTTTGTTGTTGGTGCAGGCTCCCTGTGTGACGCCACCGAGCTCAGGGCTCATGTCACAGTCCCAGAGCCACTGCGGTGACAATTACAGCGTTGTAAAGCCCAACCTGATCAGGGCTGATCGATTGATGGCCGCAGCTCCTGTGGTGGCCAGAGCAGCGCGGCTCCAGTGGCTCCCACTCGATCGTTCTGGCCGAGCCACTGCCCTCCTTTGCTGTTCCATGTCAAAACAATACTTTGTACCTCTGTTTGTAAATCTCTAGAAGTGCTTGACAGCGGTATTGGTGTT